AAAGCACCAGAGTTCCCCAGAGCGTCAGTCCCCAGCTGATCCATGATGGGATACACTGCTGTCCCATTCACCCACTAAGATTTGGGACTGTTTGTTACTGAGCATAACTTAACCCAGGCTGACTGATACAATGGGAAATGCAGAACAAAACCAAGGTCTAGGGACAAACAGGCAGGGCCCTGTGCAGCAGCCCAAGCAGAATCCCATTCAGGGGTCACACTGGGATGGGAAGGTTTGAGGAGAAGCAGTGCAGACACAACATGCTGACTTGTTAGGGGACAGCATTTTCTGGGGACCTGTGTTAGCTTTCCACAACTATGACCAAATTCTCCATATAAACAACTACAAGAACCTCGGAAGATTGTTGCCCGCCCTACAAGCCAGGTTGAGTGTGCCGAAGGACAGCTTTTGCTGCCTCCTCAGCTTGAAGCATCATTAGCAACAGCCTGAGGGCCAGGAAAGAAGTCACCACATCATCAGAGAACACAAGCAAGGATGCAGAGACCCGCAGGCCTAGAGAGGGGCACGCGGTGTCCCAGGTCCTGCTGGCCCTCCTGGCAAAGACAGAGGATGCCGCCCAGCAAACAGGGAAGACGGCGTAAGTGGAGAGAACACACGTGGTGACAATGTGCTCCCCCACAGTGGGCACAGACTGGTGTGCCAGCCTGGCAGCAGAATAATGGGCCACAAAGACACCCGCAAGCTATTGCCTGGAACTGAGAACGTGCCAGACTACGTGGCAAAGGGGAATTCAGGTTGCAGACAGAAGTCAGTTTGCAGATCAGTCAACCTTAAAATAGTGAGGTCACCCTGGGTTATGGTGGGGGGGGCACAATCACCAGGGCTCCGGGAAGAGGGAGTGAGGCAGAAGAGTGGCAGAAGGAGATGGAAGAGAGGCAAGGTCAGAGACATGAGGGCCTGAGCCACAGTCTCGGCCAGCTGTGGAGACAGAGGGAGGGCCCAGCAGCACTGGAAGCTGTAAGGGACCTACTCCCCCTTACCCCAGCTAGCTCCCTGCTTGATTTAGGCCAGAGAGGCCCAAGTCAGGCTTCAGCCTGCAGAACCACAAGATCATACACTTGTGCTGTTTTAACGACTCACTCTGGGATGAAATCTCTTTCCTAGCCAAGAGAAAACTAATCCAGCTGAGTGGATGGAAAGACGGCAGGGACCAGGGACACTCGGAGCCTGGGATGCATCTGGCTTAGGCTGCACTCTCCCTCTGAGCTGCGCCCAGCCCTGACCCTGTCTCCTCAAACCCTTCTGTCCCTACCCAACCGAAAAGGACCTGGCTCTCCTGCTTTCTGTCTTCTGCCGCCTCCTTCAAGTGCTCTTTCCGAACTGTGACACAGCGATCCACAGCACACCCAGCAACGCTCACCTTGCACTCACAGATGAGACCTCGGAAAGAGAAGGCTCCTGCTCCGCCTGTCCTGCTGTGCATCTCTACGTAATCTTTCACGTGTGCCAGCACCTTACACACAATGTGAAATTTTTTTTTTTACTTAACAAATTAATATCTTTTCTTATATCTGGAAGACAAATTTGTATACTGATTGGTAATGTGGACTTTTCCAGCTAAATCTAAGGTACATTTTAGGGACTACAACGTCCTTGCTGTGTTATTATTTCCTAACTTTAAATCCTCGTCAAGCACATATTAAATGCGATCCATTCTTTCACATGGATTGACCCAGTGTCCTAAGAAGCTGTGTTTGTAAGCAGCTTTTATGAAGTCAGCCTGAAGAAATTACAGGTATAGTCTGGGTATGATGGTGCATGCCTGTAATCCCAGAACTCAGGAGCCTGAGGCAGAAGGATCACCATGAGTTGGAGGCCAGTGTATGCTACATAAGCGAGTTCAAGGCCAGCCTGAGCTATACAGGGAGACCTTGTCTCCAAAAAAAAAAAAAAAAAGAAAGAAAGAAAGAAAGAAAGAAATTACAGGTCTAATTCTCAGGGCCAACACAACCCCTCTCCAGCACTTTCTTGTTTTCTTTATGAATACTTAATTCTGTACAGATCAGCATAAATGATTCCATTTCTTTAAAACATTGCACATAGGAAAACACAGGCAGCCACTAAGCGCAATGTTTCAGATGGTTCACAGTGGTTTCGGAAAAAGCCAATGACGTGGCAAATGAATAAAAGCAGGATACGCAAATGATCAAAACAGGGCCCTCTTCCTTCATGAAGTACAGCAGGAGGAAAACGGACTGGGAAGAGAAAAGAGCGCTAGCACCCAAGGTGCTTTCCTGCACCTTCCATGTTTTTATCTAATGAGCTTGCACTGGCCTCTTTCTTTTCTGCATTTTTAAAGCAACACAAGCCCACTGTAGCAATACATTTCTCTTATAATTGGAGGGAAAAGAGTAAAAGGGAAAAATGAAAAGGTCACACAGGGTCCTCTCTCAAGGAATTCACCCCTTATGAAGCCATGCACAGTAGCTGAAAATATCAACAGCCTGCGAGACAGAGGATTCGAGGCTGGGTCAGAGAACGGGGAGGGAACTGGTGTTTACCGAGTGCCTACCACAGGCCCTGTGCGGGCGATTTATACGCGTCTCCCCTCACTTAATTCTCCCAGTAATCCCAGGAGATGGCTGCTACAGTTACAGCATTCCCTTTTAACAGATCTGGGAACAGGAGCTCAGAGCAGGGCCCAGGCTTCCCCAGAGGGAGCACGACCTTGGTATGAGCTCTCTGGGCGCCAGCAACCAAGGTCTTCTCCCTGCTGCCTTTCAGACCCAAAGAGGCGGTGATGCTCTGGTCCCAGGACCCTCAGAGCTCACTGGGGCTTGTCCAGCGTAGAGGCCCAGGCCAGCCACTCCTCCACACCAAGTCTACCATCCAACGCAGCAACGAATGTCCAGGCTCTGAAGAAAGGGACAAGGCACTCACCAGGCAGGGGTCAGGCCGCCAGGTGGACAAGTGCCCCGCAGAACATGGCCCAGGAAGGGAGCGACCAGCTGAGAAGCTGCTCGCCAAGCCCGAGGCCAAGGAGGAGGAGGCTGCTGCACACTGCTCTGCCCTTTGGAGGCCCTCAAGGCTGGCTCCTCTGACCCTTCAGAGGCACCCAAGGGCTATGAAGGTCAGGGGACAAGGTGGACTTGTGCCCCTGCAACACATACAGTGACAGCAGCCAGCAGCAGGCAGCCCGGGGACAGCACCTGGCCCAAGTCCCTCGACCCACAACACTGCCAACCCTCACCTCCCCTTGAGAGGCTGGGTCACCCTGCTACCCTCAGAGGACATTTTTCCAGTGACTCAGAGAAACCGAGACCCATAAAGCAAGATCTCAACCCAAAAAAGGCCCCTGGTTGGAGCCTCTACCACCAGGACAACCATACATTTGGGGCATGAAGGTCAAGAAGCTAGCACTGTTTCACTTGTCTTGTTTAAATTGTTTCATTAACTGACAAGTTAAAAATCAGATTTAACACTAAAGCCCAAGTTTGCAGCTACCCATGAACATGTATATGCACATCTACAGTCCTGTCCTGAGGCAGAGCCGCAGCACCTTCGGTCCCTGGGGAGCTGTAGGTGGGGACTGACAGGCACCAAATGAGTGAGGATACTGGACACTCAGCGGAGAAGGACAGCAGAAGGCGCCATTGTAATGCAGACCTCAAGCAGGGGCCCAGGACTGGGTCCCACCAGGACCTATGATGATGGCACCCACAAAGGAAGTCCAGGGGCAGAGGGCACCCAGAGATGGGGTCTGCTGGTGGATGCGACCAGAGAAGGGCAGGGATTCCTCCTCGCTGCATGTCAGTGGACACCAGACACAGACATCTGCCAACACTAGAAGAAGCAGTTCCCATGACAGGCAACACCAGTCTCACCCTACTCGTCACCACCCCAAAACAGCACCTGGGACTCCAGAGCTGTACACCCCATCCCCAGCCCCACCCCGAAGACATTGCAGAACTTCTGGCTTCAGAGCTTAGGCAGCCCCGCCCCCAGAGACAGCCCCAGCTCCTCCTCAGCTGCGCCCAGGAGCAGGACGCCCTCAGAAGGCCTCTCTTCCAAAGAAGACCTGCGCAGCACCGATCTGACCTTCTGGACCACATCCATCGCTGAGTCACCTTCTCCTCTCGAGCCCCAGCAGACTGGCAGCAGAGGACTCAGCCCCGGACCCTGACGCTCCTCCTGGGAGGGATCCCTGCATCCTGTTCCCCAGCAGAGCCAGTCTAGCCTCAGCACCCGAGGGCACAGGCTTCAGAGCTAAGCCCTTGGCTGTGGAGCCCCAAGCTGGCCAGGTGTAGGGGACAGAGAGAGCCCTGAGCCCTGAGCCCTGACCATGAAGCAGGCGTGGGGGAGGAGTCTGGCTTCCAGAGCAGAGAGCCAGGTGGGAGGGGAGGGGAGGGAGAGGAGAGAAAAGCAGAGGGGTGTCTATCCCGCACACCTGTTGCCCCTGCTGTGCAGCCCCATCAGAGGCCAAAGGAGGCGGCGGCCCACACAGGAGCTAGGATTTCCCGCAGCCAGACCTGGCCCAGCTCCACTTCTTTCCTGGGCAAACAGCGCCCACCTCCGGTCCAGGCAGCGGCAGAGAAACCAGCTGCTCCGAACCTGGAAGAGAATCGCGGTGGAGACACTAAGCCGACGCACAACCTAACAACCTAACGAGGGCCGCGGAACTTGCTGGGCGCCGGCCAGGCTGCAAAGAGGGCGCACAGGCCGGGCTCGGCCACCGGGTGCTCTAGGCATGAAAGACGCCGGGCCACAGAGGACCAGGGAGGGACACGCGGCACAGGTCTCCGGCGCTCAGACACGCCCACCCACAAACACGCGAGAAACAAAGACGGCCGGAGCCGCACGCCTGCACGCCCACCCTGCGGGGAAGAATCGGCGTGCGCCGTGCGCGCAGCCTCCCCAGAGCGTCCCCACTCAGCTCGCTGCCTTCTGGGCCCGGGAAGCTGCTGCTGCCAGCGGGTGGCACCAGGCATCCCAGGCACACAGGGGACTCGGCTGGTCTCCGTGGCTGCGCGGTCGCTCACCTTCCTGCACAGCCTGGAATGGGTTGTTGGCCTCGATGACCTTGATGGAGTAGGTGATCTTCTCGCTCTGCAGGATGTCATCGTTGAGGCTCAGGTCGGACACAGCCAGCTGGAACACCCTGTCGTCCTTGGCTGCGTTCTCCTCAAAGATGGCACCTGGAGAAGCGGAGGGGTCAAGACTGGGGCTGGAGAAGACCCTGCCCCTCCCCTCGGGTCAGGTGCCTCAGGACCCAGGGCCACTGGGTGGGGGGAGGTCTGAGCTAGGATTTCTTTTCATGTACTTTAAGACTGTCCCCCATAACACACATAGGATGCCACCAGCCTCTACACACACGTGCACAGTTGACATGAGTCAGACATGCATATCCTACATGCTGCCACCAGGTCACACACATGGCTCACACCTAAGGCACATGTACAGCCATACCCAGTGTGACAGACTGTGCCACGCTGAGGTGGCCTCAAGCAACACCCAAATGCCCCTAAGTCCCATCCCAGAGCCAGAAAGTTCCAGGGAGGGCCCTGTTCCCCAGCCCAAGTCCACGGTTGCAGGATGCCTCCTTTGCAGCGTGCCCAGCCGAGGGAGCTGCACAGAGAGACCACAGCGGGCTCGCCTGGCAGAGGAGCCTGGCAGAGGAGCCTTCCGCGGGCACAGGGCCTCGGGTGGCCGCGACGGTATCCGGCCTGGCACCCTGGACTCCTGCCCTCCCGCCCTCCCGCTGCCTCTTCCTGCATGGGTGGTGGAGGGAGTCGGGGCGAGGACAGTCCCATAGACACCCTACACACACACTCCACTCAGGCGGCTGAGCATCCCGGAAGCAGCGGCTGGTGCGAGGCCACTCTAGCACCGCGCGGCCCCTCCGGGGCGTCCTCCAGCCGGCCCTGAGCGCTGCTTCCGCGGTCTCTGCGCCCGTGGTGGGGACGGGAGCGCCTCGCCGGGGCCGACCCTGCAGCCTGGGCAGCTGGGGACTCCCCAAGCCACCACTGCCAGGCCCCGGGGTCAAGGAGGTCCCACGGCTTGACCCGATGTCCCCCAAGCTGAGAGCTAGGCGAGACGAAAGAGCCCCGGGTCCTCGGTCCTCGAGACACTCGGAGCCGCATTGCCGACCGCCCGACTCAAGCCGCCCCAGGGCGGGAAGCAGGTTCAAGCCAGGCCCTTCGGGGGACGTCGCAGTTCTCCAAGCCGGGCCGATTCCCTCGCCACCCCACGCCACCCTGCGCCCTACCTGTCCTGTCACCCCCGCCTCCTCCTCACACCTCCCAGCCCCGTTTCTTCGGGCCTGCTGGTCTTTCCCAACTTCCGGAAAGGCGACTGCGCAAGGGTTCCCCCACAGCGGCCGTGTCCGCCCCCTAACCTGGCCCAACTTCCTGGGATTCCAGCCGCGCTGCTCCCAACTCCCGCTCGCTGCTGCGTCCCTTCCCCTCGGTGCCCTCCCCCATCCATCTCCCACCTCACCTCTTCCCTCGACCCCCACCACACGGATCACACTCTGGCCTCGGAGACTGGGACCCGCCAAAACTCCGGGACTGTCCAGGACAGGGCTGCAGTCGCCACCCCTTGATGCGCACACACACACACACCCTCACAGACACACGCCAGACGCGGGCCGACATCGCGTCCACTCTAACAGGCTGGCGGCGTCGCGCGCACCGACACACGCTCGCCTGGCCCCATACTCCCCAACGCCCTCTCGCAGTGACACCGACACGGTGCCAGGTGCACACGCAGCGACACACGCTGACAACACCCATCCGCGGTCACACTCCGCTCCGGGCCGGCCTCTCCAAGCTTGCTCGGCCAACTTGGAGAGCCCCTGGCCCTGTACAGCCCCCGACCCCGGTTCCTCTGAGCTGCGCCCGAGGGCCCCTAGCCCGGCGCGGGTCTTCACGCGCCCCCACCGCGGCGCCCCCCGCAGCCGCGGCCCCGAGTATGGGCAG